TGCTTATCGTAAAGCCTAATTTAAAGATATATAACATACTTCAGTATTTTGGCATTTTTAATTTTATTTTTGGAATACCAATGTATTCCTTTATTTACGCATGATGTTACAAATGATTTGTGCTTCTACTGTGTGCCACCCGAGAAAAAAAGGCATAAAATTTGACACACTGTAGTAGTGGTAACATTTACCCTAACGGCAGGCCAATCCGTGTCTTAATTGTAGTTTAATTTGAGTCGCCGCGACAAGAAAGATGCCAAATGACTGACAACAACTTCTTTCCTGTGTGTAGATATATTTCCACCCCTTGGATCCTGTTCTTTCTAAACCACCATCTGAAGCATTTTTTCCCCGGTAGAAATTGAATACAGGCAAAACAGTAGAATTTATTGATATCAACAAATTTCGTGACAGCTTATCAACTGCTACTTGTCGCTGCATAAGGATAACGATGACACATACAGGAGTGGTGCATTTCACAGAATTACTGGCAACAGCAAGGAACGTGGGTCAGCTTAAAAATTAATCGATAAAGGACGGGAACGTGAAGTCAACATATGGGAAGTAGTGGATGAGGGAAGTTAACGAAAAACACGTGGGTAATCACATTGAATGACCAATCACCAGGGCAATTGGAGGTTGACGACACGGTCAAGCTGCTTGCATAGGTCAGGTTTCTCCCACCGTATGTCATAGTCGTGTCTTTGACTGGCCTTCCGAAGGATTCACGGCAAACGGCGTATTCGACGGAAGAACGTTTGGCAGTTAGACAGAAGCCTGGCTGCATATGCTACTTTGTGGCGCCCGAGAAAGAAAACCAGAAACTTGAATCGCTTGTATACCGGTGACATTGCATCTATCGACAAGCTAATCGGTATAAGGGTGAAGGTCACCGTTCTGGTGCAGTTGGGGGTTACGTTATGGTGTACGGCTATGATGAAGATTACAGTGATAGTGTGGCTTAGCGTTTGGTTAAGATAAAGAGCAGAATACTTATTTATCTGTCTTTTGGTGCTGTCACCTCAATCACTGGCTGAGGAGGAGGGTGGGTCTTTTATCGCTTGCAGTCTTGGTGACCAAAGATGCAACCACGACGGCTAAATGCTCAATTTAATCGCTGTACTCAAAGAGAAGATAACCTTTAGATCTGTAGACTATCCCGATCCCGGCCGCTGTAATTCACTCCAATAACCTTTGATAATCGAATGCGGCTTCGTGTTTGCATTTGTTCCGGATTAGGTGTATGCATCCGTTAAAATGCAGTCTTCTTTCAGTTTTGTGAAATAATGCAGTGAATGACCAACCGAATCTTGACATACCCCTTGGCCGAATGACCGGATAGATTTAACTCTAAAACTTCTAGATGACAAGACGTTGTTAGCACCCTACACTGTATGGTCCACAAGCATCTCACACTGGTCACAAAACCGATTTTAGAC